ACCTTTTATCATATTACGTGTGGGTTTTGCGTGCTCCTGGATAACAGAACGAGCCTGTTTATATTTTTTATTTTGGTTCTGCAGCTCTGCTGTGGGCTTTGATTCGGGAATCAAGAAGGTGTTTTCTGTTCTGCCCTGTAGTGGTTGCACGTGGCGCCATGTCTGTTCCACTGCAGTTTGCCTTCTGCCAAAAGCTACATCGTGCGGCTCACTCTCTGCCGTGGCGAAACCTCATAAATTGCGTAATTACATTACATAAATGATAAAGCCCTTACGTTATGCCAGGCGAGTTCTTTTCAGCACAAAGGGAACGTATTGTGAGTAAACTGAAAGTGGAATACTGATTGTATTCTCTGGGTTGAATTCTTTTCCAGACACGAGACAGGTAGATGTGGTGCAATCATTTGGTCCTCTTCTACCCCGCTTGCTCTCTCCAGCTGAATTCCACCCCCCCCAAAAAAAATAAGTCGAATATCTTCTTGCAAATGTGAGAGCGTTTGTTCAGGGCAGATCCTGCACCTCTGAAGCAGCAGCTGGGTTGTCCTGGGTGTGGAATGACACATTGCGGAGATCCTGCTCCGAGTTTGCCTAAAAAATGTTGCCGTCCCGGTTTGTTCCCGATTCTTGCTTCATAAGCCCTGGATGTCGTAATCGAGAGTTGGGACAGACCCAGAGCAAGGGGGGAAAGCCCCAAAATGTCAGAGGTGAGCGGAGGATGCCTTGCCCTTGTGCCACAAATCGCCCCAGGTCGGCCCGAAATCCTGGTTGCCTGCCAACGTGGTGCTGGAATGGTGTGGTGTTGTTTTTTTGAAACTGCAAACAAGATGATGACTGTGACTTTAATAGGCTTCGCCAGAGCCTTTTGCCCCCCAGGCAATTAAGGTACGCCTTTCTGTGTCACGTTGAAAGACGTTGTGCTCTCGAAGCAGCTTCTGGAACGCACGCCCTCCCTCTCGACTGGAATTGGGCGTTCAAGGGCTGGCGGCGCACGTACAAATTGCTGGCAATTAAAGCAGGGGAAACGTGGGTCGGTCCTAATTGTGGCCCCCTGGGCGTCCAGGTGGGGTCACGGGTATCCTAAACAGGTGTGTGCAGTTCCACAGAGGTGTGATGTGCTGAAGTCTGCTAGTGCTTTTCCGTCCCTGGACAGGACGCGCTCTCTCTCGCCTTGCCCAAATGCTCATGCTTTGCTGATCGCGCCATACTTGTCCGCGTGCTGATAGCGCCGTGTTAATTAGCTGAACGGCGGAAGGATCTTGGCTCACACCAGCACCCACGACACTCAAGCGATCTGCTCACGAGGAGCCCACCAGCAGGAGAGGAAAGCAACAGCGCTCTCTCAGATGGCGTGCAAATTTGTCGAGAGAGGCCCTGTGTCAGGTGTTGTGTGACATTGACTGTTGAACACCCCCCCCTTCCGTGTCACTCCATTTCATAAAATGCGTTCAGGACGTCGAGGGGGTGTCTGAACGTAGGGTAGTTCTCCAGTAAACCAGGCCTAGTCCACCTGTCATTTAGGATTTAATTGTTGTTGTTTAGTTGTTTAGTCGTGTCCACCTCTTCGTGACCCCCTGGACCAGAGCAGGCCAGGCACTCCTGTCTTCCACTGCCTCCCCCAGTTTGGTCAAACTCATGCTAGTCACTTCGAGAACACTGTCCCACCATCTCGTCCTCTGTTGTCCCCTTCGCCTTGCGCCCTCCATCTTTCCCAACATCAGGGTCTTTTCCAGGGAGTCTTCTCTTCTCCTGAGGTGGCCAAAGTCTTGGAGCCTCAGCTTCAGGATCTGTCCTTCCAGTGAGCACTCCGGGCTGATTTCCTTCAGAATGGAGAGGTTTGATCTTCTTGCAGTCCATGGGACTCTCAAGAGTCTCCTCCAGCACCAGAAGTCAAAAGCATCCATTCTTCGGCGATCAGCCTTCTTTATGGTCCAGCTCTCGCTTCCATACATCACTACTGGGAAAACCATGGCTTTAACTATACGGACCTTTGTTGGTAAGGTGATGTCTCTGCTTTTTTTTAATATTAAGGATATTAATATTTTTTTAAAATTAAGGATTTAATAATAAATAATAATAACTTAAAAACAAGATTAAAATACAACATTAAAATGCAGCCTCATTTCAGCAGAAACTCAAAAACTTTTTTGGGGATGAAAACGTCAAGTCTTCACCAAGGCCAACTATCCAGACTGGTCCTATGTGGGCCAGAAAAAAGCCAGGGAAGTCCCGAAATAGGAGAAAGGAAAAAGGAAAGAGGGGGAGGGGATCAAGTTGATTCCAAGCCAAAGGCCAGTCGGTACAGCTCTGTATTATAGGCCCTGTGGAAAGAAATCAGATCCTGCAGGGCCCTGGTCTCATGAGGCAGAGTGTTCCAACAGGCTGGAGCCAGTGTTGAAAAGGCCCCGGCTCTATTGAGGCTAATCTTTGAGATTCCTGCATTGTCTGGGGTTGGACTAGATGACCCTCGGGGTCCCGTCCAACTCCGCATTTCTATGATGCCTTTCAGGTGGTTTCTGACTGCAGCTCCCATCCAGGGTTCGAAATTCAACAGGCCCAGGCACATCCCCGCCCGCCACCTGGAGTTGCACGCCTGGGGATCTTTGGATTTTGACCAGGGGTCAGCACACTTTTTCAGCAGGGGGCCGGTCCACTGTCCCTCAGAGCTTGTGGGGGGCCGGACTATATTTTGAAAAAAAATAATGAGCGAATTCCTATGCCCCACAAATAACCCAGAGATGCATTTTAAATAAAAGGGCACATTCTACTCATGTAAAAACACGCTGATTCTTGGACCACCTGCGGGCCGGATTGAGAAGGCAATTGGGCTGGATCCAGCCCCCAGGCCTTAGTTTGCCTACCCATGATCTTGACTGTTTCCACACATTAGCAACACGTCCTGTAGAATCCTTCCCGTTACGTTTTATCTGCACAATCGGAATAAATTTCAGGAACCAAGAAGTCACATTGAAAAACATGACTTGGAAGCCGTCTCGCCCCAAAATGGCCATTCGGCATTCCATTTTGGTGGCCGTACGCCTGGTTTAAGGAGCCGTTTGGCTAAATACAGATCTGAGTTTCCAACACTGCTCCCTTGCCGTGGGCTGCCGTTTGCCGTGAAAATGTTCGCGCTGAGTTTGTTGGACGTGTGCACAGCTTCTGAAGAGCTCCAATCTCTGCTGTGGACGACTTCGCAGAGAGAGAAAAGACACCATAACATAAGAGCGTCGCTTCTGCCGTGTCTCAGAGCCCTGATGTCTGGCGCGCTCTCTCTCTCTCTGTGTGGCTAAAATAAGTCTATTTTCACGCTTGTTTACAAAGCTGAGAACAAGTTGCTGAACAAGTTTGGCTAGGGGCAGAGGGAGAAAAGGAAAGCCTGCGTGTTAAGCTCTTTACGCAGCGCGGGGAGGCGGAAACGAATCCTCCGCGCCAACTGTCTCCCATGAATTAAAAATGAGTGCCTGTCTCTCGGGCAGAACCGCGCTTGCATTGATTCCTGCAGAGCCGAAGTTGGGCAGAGCCGGCCTGGGAGGGTTTGGGGGGCTCACAGGAGGCTGCCTTCTGCAGATCCAGATCTGTGGTTCCTCTAGTTCAGTGCAGACTGCACTGGCTGGCAGCTGCTTGCCCAGGGAATGTTCAGGCCAGGGAATGTTCCCCAGCCATTCCTGGAGACGCCAGCGATGGAAGCTGGGACCTTGTGCATGCAAAAGAGCCGCTCTGCCCCTGAGCTGCCTTCTCCAAAAACAAAGCAAGGCTCCAGTCCTCATGGTTCTGAACATAGGGGTAGTTTAAATGGGGCTTTCTGCATGCAGAGCAGCTGTTCTCTACCATCTCTGGCTGTTTGCTAAGAATTGCTAGTCGCCCAAAGCTGTTATTTGTTCATATGAGTGCCTTTTTGGGAGAATCTCTTCGGCTGTTAGACGGCGTTTCATTTCCCCTGTTTCAGATCCCTCTGTAAAATCAACCCATCCCGTGAAGCCTTGGCATTCTTGAGATCAGGAGATCTGCTTCACACCATGACAGAACCAGGCCTTCCGTGTGGTGGCCCCTAGCCTTTGGAACTCCCTCCCACTGCACGTATCAGACAGGCGCCTTCTCTCTCGCCTTTTTGGCACCTGTTTAAGAAGTTCCTCTTTCGACAGCCTTCTGAAATCTCTATCCCAGTTTCCTTCTCTCTTAGATGGGTCCAGGTTGATTTCAAGCAACTGCCGTTATGTTGAGATAGTGTTTCTATTTTAGTATATACAGGTGAAACTCGAAAAATTAGAATATCGTGGAAAAGTTCATTTCTTTCACTAATTCAGCTTCAAAGGTGAAACTCATATATGAGATAGACTCGTGACATGCAAAGCGAGATATGTTAAGCCTTGATTTGTTCTTGAAACTCGAAAAATTTGAATATCGTGGGAAAGTTCCTTTATTTCTGTAATCCAGCTTGAAAGGTGAAACTAATATATGAGATCGACTTGTGACATGCAAAGCGAGATATGTCAAGCCTTGATTTGTTACCATTGTGATGATCATGGCATACAGCTTATGAAAACCCCAAATTAACAATCTCAGAAAATTAGAATATTCAAGGAAATCAGCAAAACAAGGATTGCAAATCGAGCAAGATTGGACCTCTGAGAAGTAGAAGCACCTCTCGCTTTGCATGCCATGAGTCAACCTCATATGTTAGTTTCGCCTTTTAAGTTGAATTACTGAAATAAACGAACTTTTCCACGATCTTCTAATTTTTCGAGTTTCACCTGTATATGCATATTTTATAGACTGCACATGCAGTTCTATATAAGGGTTGATTATGTTTTGATCATGCCGCAAATCTGGGATGCCTCGGGGGAAGCGATCCACGAACGAAATCGACAACAGCGCCTTGAATGACAACCTTTCTACGGCTGTTATATTTATTAGAGATCGCTTTGGGATGCAATTTGCAAAGAGTGGTGAATGTTGCTAAGCCAACCTATTGAGCGTGTCTCTTTTGCCGTCTTGTTTTCCAGGACAGTGTGAAAATACTAAGACTGACCCTCCAGAATGATCTCCCTGGGGACAGGCGCGACCAAGGAAAGCAAAAGGTGAGTGGCTGGTGTGAATAAGGCCCCGTCTGCTATACTATTTTAGCAGCCACGGCTGCCCCCAAAGAACCCTGGGAGCTGTAGTTTGTTGTGGATGCTGAGATTTGACAGGAGACCCCTCCAGTTCCCCTTAGTAAAGGTACCCCTGCCCGTACGGGCCAGTCTTGACAGAGTCTAGGGTTGTGCGCCCATCTCACTCAAGAGGCCAGGGGCCAGCGCTGTCCGGAGACACTTCCGGGTCACGTGGCCAGCGTGACGAAGCTGCATCTGGCGAGCCAGCGCCGCACACGGAAACGCCGTTTACCTTCCTGCTGGTAAGCGGTCCCTATTTATCTACTTGTACTTTGACGTGCTTTCGAACTGCTAGGTTGGCAGGAGCAGGGACCGAGCAACGGGAGCGCACCCCGCTGCGGGGATTCGAACCGCCGACCTTTCGATCGGCAAGCCCTAGGCGCTGAGGCTTTAACCCACAGCGCCACCCGCGTCCCAGTTCCCCTTACAGAGCTGCAATTCTCAGCAGCTTGACTGAATCTTCCTTCCTAGGAAATTTTGGGAACCGTAGCCGTGTGATGGGAATTGGGGGGGGGGTGTCTCCTCACAGCTCTCAGCACCCTTAAAATGCTACAGTTCTCAGGATCAGGGCCGGATTTAGGTTTGCTGAGTTCCTGAGCTACTGAAGGTAATGGGGCCCTTTATACGTCCAGCTGTCCTTTGTCAACAACAAATTGTCGCTGGTTTTTTGTGTGTTGAGTATATGCTACGTGGAAATTGATGGACCTAATAGGTATCTAAAGCCATTTGCACATCACAAAACATGTATTTTATCAAAGTAATTGTTGAACTGAAATACAATTTGAAGAAGTACCGTACTTTTCCGTGTATAAGACTAGGGTTTTTTACTAAAAAATAATATTAAAAGCGGGGTAGTCTTATACACAGGGGCAATTTCGCCCCCCCATTTTCTTCATTTTGAGTCCCCCAAAATAAGGAGCGTCTTATACACAGGGGCGTGTTATACATGAAAAAATACAGTATTTTAATAGTGAAATGCAATTAAGATGATGTATATTGGGGGGCGGGCAAGAGATTGGGGCACTAAGCTTATAGCTTGTTTAGCTTATACGTAAACGCACAGAAAAGCTCAAGATACACATTGATCTACCCACATGTAGTTGTTATCTCTGAGAAACGTAGAAAATAACAGGATATTATTTATATGAATTGTTCAAACTTATACAAGCCTTTAAAAATTAGCTGATGAAGGTGAATACATCGAAACAGGGCCCTGTCCTGTTTTTAAAGATGAGTTGTGGGGGCGAGGCAGGACTGAGATGTGGAGATACGCTTTAGAGATCCAGACAGTGGGGAGCCCCCAAAAATTAATAATTATAATCTGGACTATAATTTGGTCTTTTTTTATTTCAGTTTTTTATTTTAATTGGAGTACAGTGGTACCTCGGGTTAAGTACTTAATTCGTTCCGGAGGTCCGTTCTTAACCTGAAACTGTTCTTAACCTGAAGCACCACTTTAGCTAATGTGGCCTCCCGCTGCTGCCGCACCGCCGGAGCACAATTTCTGTTCTCATCCTGAAGCAAAGTTCTTAACCCGAGGTACTATTTCTGGGTTAGCGGAGTCTGTAACCTGAAGCGTCTGTAACCTGAGGTACCACTGTATTATGATTGGATATATTAATTGGATGTTTTTTATTGGAAAATCAATAAAAATTAAAAATAAAGATGGGTTGCGCTGTATAGATTCTCATGCATTTCATTGATTTGCGGAGTTGAGAGTCCTTTGCCCTGCTTGCTTTTGCATCTGGACCTCCTCTAGTGCGGCCCCCACGAGGCTTCCCAGGAAGAGAGTGTGGCCCTCAGGTCCCTTGCCACCTCCCTGAGCTTTCCCGCCGTTTCAAAGCCCACAGTGTGCCTCCCTGGAGAGATGATGATGATGATGATAATAATATTTTTTTATTTATATCCTGCCCTTCCCAGCTGAAGCCGGGCTCAGAGCGACAGTTACATAAGATCACAATCAATTAAGCGATGAGGCGGACAGTGGGATGAAGTAGGGGGAGGAGAGGTGGGGAAATATTGTTAAAAAGGTGTAGTTATAGGTACAGTGGTGCCTTGCAAGACGAAAATAATCCGTTCCGCGAGTCTCTTCGTCTAGCGGTTTTTTTGTCTTGCGAAGCAACCCTATTAGCAGCTTAGCGGATTAGCGCTATTAGCAGTTTAGCGGCTTAGCGGCTATTAAAGGCTTAGCGGCTTAGCGGCTAAAAGGCTATTAACGGCTTAGCGGCTTAGAAAAGGGGGGGGGAGCAGGAAAAAATCGCAAGACTCGCAAGACATAATCGTCTTGCGAAGCAACTCAAAAACGGAAAACCCTTTCGTCTAGCGGGTTTTTCGTCTCGCGAGGCATTCGTCTTGCGGGGCACCACTGTATATCAGTACTCTAATCTGAATTGTTAAATTGTGTTATTAGTGTTATTGTGGTTTTTGTTTGTATTGAAAAAATGAATAAATAAATTTAATAAAATCACAATCAGTTAATTAAAATACATTCGGAAATCAGTTCAATCTAAAATCCTAAGGGAACCTGCTCACACGAAGCCTTCGTTTTGTCTCCCTCAGCCGGTGGGAAGGGCCTTTGCCATGGTGGCCAACCGGCCCCCCAGCAGCCACGCCTTGGCGTCGGAGTACGTCAAGTCCAGCGAGGGCGACGAGGAAATCATCAAGGTGAGCTGGGACCAGCCGGCGCTCGGCTTTCGCGGCTTTATTTTTAGCAGACAGGGTGTTGTTTGCCAGCGAGAAAGAGAAGGAACCGGCTTTTCAGGGAGGGTCTTGTATTCCTGGGGGGCAAAACAGCTGCTTTTGCAACCGGAAGGTCCCAGGTGCAAAACCCCAGCATCTCCAGGCAGGGTTGGGAGAGACGCCCTGCCTGAAGCTGCCAGTCAGTGTAGGCAGAATGGAGCTATGTGCCCTGATGCTTCAGTGTAAGGCAACTTCTGGTGCCTCTGCTTAATCAGCCCTTTTGCTCAGAACCATGAGGACTGGAGTCTTAGCTCTGTGGGAGAGTCCCTGCTTTGCATGCAGAAGGTCCTGGGTTCAATCCTGCCCCCCATATCTCCAGATGGGGTTGGTTTCTTCTTGAAACCCCGGAGAGCAGCTGCCAGCCAGTGTTGGCAGCCCTGAGGTAGGTAGACCCCAGTGACCTGGCTCTGTAGAAGGACAGCTTTCCGTGTTCCTGTTTAAGGGTCACGGCGTAGATTTAAAGCACCTGCCTTCCTCTCAAGGACTTATTTTACTTACTTTATTTATTTATTTATGCATGCATGCATGCTTTTCAGGTTTATACATTTCACTAATTTTTCAATCATTTTAACATTTCATAACTTTGACTTCCTTCCCGCTCTTTCCGCGGATCCTTAAATTTATTTTTAATACCTTTTGCATATCCAAATTCACTTAATTTGCTCATTTATTCATCTGCTTTAAATATATGCTCTTATAGAACTGCGGGTCATTGCAATAATCCTGCCAATGTTCTTATCTGTTTACAATTTATCAGTAAATATTCAATAAACCATTTCCATTCTTTTATAAAAAGTTTGTTAACTTGATTTATTACTCTTCCGGTAAGTTTCTCCGCCTGTTCTGTAAGTTTTTGAATCCGTTCTTCCTTTGCTTCCCCTCAAGGGTGCCTGGGAACTCTAGTTTGCCCCCTCTCAGAGCTGCAGTTCCCAGAATGCTTTGCAAGGGGAAGCCGGGTGCAGTGGCTCTGACTTCTTTATCAAAACATGAGGACTAGAATCTTTGCTGTTAGGGGGAAGGATTGCAGCTCAGCAGCAAGGCTGTGTAGGTGAAGCTTACAGAGGAGGCTGTGTCCTTCCTGATGTTGCTGGACTCCAGCTCCCATCATCCCTGGTAAAAATAAACTAAATAATAAAAATCAAAAAGTTTAAGGGGGAAAATTAGAAAAATTGAACAAAGCCTTAATGGGATGCCGGCTACAAACCTCATTTCACTGAACTATTCGGTTTCCTCTGAAGGAAATAGAAAAATCATAAACCTTAAATGACCAAAATTCAAAGAAAGGGGTAGAACTCCCAAAAATTCTGAAGTGTTATAATCCTAGGTAAAGCAAGGTTTTTCTAATTTTTTCCCTTAAACTTTTTGATTTTTATTATTTAGTTTATTTCTACAAGAGAATATTTCTAGTTGATTTCTAGTATTTCATTTGTTTTATGCAATTCTCAGTTCCGTGACTGTCATTTTTCTGCTGACTCCCCTCATCCCTGGTGGCTGGCCATGCTTGATGGGACTTGGAGTCCAGCCACATCTGGAGGGCTCCAGCTTGCTCCCCAGCCCTGATCCTCAACCGTTCCTCAAGCGTGCGCCTGTCCCATCTTGCGCCGGGTTTGCCTCCTTCCTATCAGGGCAGCTTTCCTTCCCAACTTGATGGGCGTTGTGGTTTCTCCTCTGTGACTCAGGTCTACCTCCGAGCCCGAGCCGAGGACAGGGCCCAGAACGAAAAGAGCCTCCATCAACTGAAAAGTGACGGCTGTCATCTCCAAGCGGTAATTAGCGTCCTTTTAAATAATGTGTGCTGGCAAGTAGCGGGGAGGTAATTTTGCAAAACGGAAGGAGCTGGTGGCACGGGCTCTCAATGGGGCACTGAAGGGTGTGTGTGTGCGTGCGCAGAAATAACATAAATACTGAATTTTTTGCTCTATAAGACTCACTTTTCCCCTCCTAAAAAGTAAGGGGAAATGTGTGTGCGTCTTATGGAGCGAATGCAGGCTGCGCAGCTATCCCAGAAGCCAGAACAACAAGAGGGATCGCTGCTTTCGCTGTTGTTCTGGCTTCTGAGATTCAGAATATTTTTTTCTTGTTTTCCTCCTCCAAAAACTAGGTGCGTCTTATGGTCTGGCGCGTCTTATAGAGCGAAAAATACAGTATTTCTGAAGTTAACTGCAGCGGCTGAAGAGGCAAGCAACTTT